ATATATAAATTTTTTATATAAAGAAAAAAAAATTAAGAGTAAAATAATTAGAATTATTTAAACATTGAAAATAAATTAACAGAAAAACAGAATTATTTAGATCGTTAAATATATTTGCAGAATTCCATTGAAAAAAATTCTCAATCATTTTTATCTTCTTTTTTCAATCATTGTTTTCTTTTGCAGGTTTGGATGCGTTGGGTACCGGATTGCTGAGTGTCGGATCGATATTCTCAGTTCTCACAATATATTTCGCTGTCGATGCATGTCACAATATCGTCTACCAGAAGAATTCAAAATTTTACAAAGGGAATGCCATCGTGATCCTATCAGTATATCCGGTCGCGAGCGTATGCAGCCTTATGGCGATTGCGATACCAAGGTAAAAAGTAAAAGCCTATCGCAACTCACTGACAATATCGAAATTCCGAGAGAAACTTGCCACCAGCAAAGTGTAAAATAAAACCATGCGTATCGCCATTTCTATTTTTTGTTTTACACACTGTTAAATTTACTTTAAACAATCCATAGGTGACAAAAGTCGAGGCAGGACTCTATAATTTTATGTATATAGAAAAATCATTAAAAAATTATTTTATTTTTAAATTTTAGTATTCAATTAGCTTTTTCTGTTCTCCCTCTTTAGAAGAAAATTTAAAATTTTTTAACAAGAATCTAAAAAAGATTTTTAACGTATCTTAAAATGCAAAAATAAGAAAAAAATCTGAAAATATTTAAATAAAAATTAAATTGCCTAAATAAAAAATATAAATTTTTGTATTAAATATCTCTTTAAATAAAAAAAAAAGACACATTTTACAATGACTCTAATTTATAATTAACTGCAATAGTTGTAACTCCCCGAGATTTTCTGTCACATTGACATTAGTTTTGTGAAATTTATGAGAATAATGACGTTTGTCTGGTTTTCGACAGGGGTCAGTTACTATCGGAGGCAGTAACCCAAATGTTCCTAACAATCTCATTTTATCGGCTCTATCTTCTCCTGCTGGACGTCGGTCGCCGAAGGATCAGCGAGACGCCGGCGCTGATGCTACGAGTCGGGCCCTGTTGCTGCTGGCCCTGTCTGCCCTTTCCGAACCTTCAGATGACCGATGCCAATTTGTCTTGGCTAAGAATCTTGGCCCTACAGCTTCCTATGGTCCAGGTAAAAAATTTTTCTCCCCTTTCTTCCTCTTCACGCTCCGATCATTTTGCTTCTCTTTCACGCTAAATAATTATTATAATAAACTCCTACCAAATTGATTAAAATTTATAATAATTAATATCCATATATACAAAAAATATGCAATTGAAATACACAACCCAAAGATACCATTTATTATATTAAATGTATGTGTAAATTGATATACGAAAAAAATTAAAAACGATTATATAAAGAGTTATGCGTTGATCTTCTTTGCTGCTGAAATTTTGTTGCTAGTTGAAACAAAAAACAAAAAAAAAGAAAAAACTTTTGATATACAGCGCAGCGTGATTTATTTAAAATTTGAACAAATATTTCAAATCTTTTTTAGAATATTTATTTTTTTTAATAAAATATAGATAAACTTATATTTTTTCTATGTAGCACATTTTCTATAACATATCGTGCATTTCGAAATAGAAGAATCATATAAATATCCCTAAAATTTATTTTTTGAAACAATAAATATCCTTGAAAATATTCAAACACAGAACACTAGAATTAAATAAATCCTGCAGATCTATATATCTAATGATAAATATTAAAAATATTTTCAATTATTTGATTAATTTTAATAAAAAATAAATATAATATATATAATAATTTGTATTAAAAATATTTATATAACATAAATATTCCAACAAAAAAATGTCTAAGAAAATGTTTGACTTTTCAGGGTCTTCTCTATTTCATATTCCTTTTCATGAAAGCCGAGGAACCGATTCTTGCCACACAATATGGCGTATATCTTCAGCCGGTCATGGTAATCAGTATACTCTTAGGAATATATAGTTTAACTATTGCTACAAAGACTCTACATGCGGTAGCTCCAGGTATGAGTATGCATATTTAGACAAGAATTCTTTCGCCATTTAATTTCAACAGAAAATTTATTTCTAGTATTTTGCATGCACATTTATTTTGCTATCATTATTCTTCTACTTTTCTTCATAGAAATTCCTTAAAATGTCAAAAATATAGCGTTTTATATTAATATTATATATATTAATAAATTACATTTTATTATTAATCATAATATAATACTCCTTCTATATTCTCTTTGTTGCGATATATTTATTGTAACGGAAAGATGTTTAAATTAAAAATGCTCTCTCACTCTCTTTTGTACATATTTTATTAATACTCTTATTTTATAGTATAATTTTAATTTAATTCGATTTTTATTTTTTTCTAATATTTCTGATTTTATTTTTATTTTATTACCAGTTTCATTTTCACGCGATAATAATTCGAATTTCTATACCGAACCCAAAGAATATCTTACATTTATTAATCATGATTTGTCTGCTTGTCGAAGATCAAAATTCAGATTCAATACGTTTGATCGCCCAACAATGATAATTGTATCACTGTAACCATTAGCAATTCTGTAGCAATTCCCGAGAAACCCGGGATCTTATCTTTCATTCTCTGACGTTAATGAAAAATACATTTTTGATCAATATCGCTTATTCTCGTTTCAGAGGCCAACTTACATTTCAAGACATTGGTGACGCAATTGGTGCTGTTGTTCTCTAAACTACAGGCGGGCATTATTAAGCTACTGCCCGCCACAGGCCTTTTTCCGTGCAATCCACCTCTCACTCCGGAAATTTACGCCAGCGGTAATGCATAAGTTTCCATCTTTGTTCATTTTTGTAATCTTCATTCATTTTTGCTCTAAGAAAATCAAATGCTCAGAGAAAATCGATGATTTTAATATTATCGATTAAATTAGAAATTATAATTATAATTAGGCATGTCACAGGTTTTCACAATTCAAAGATCTGAATCATTATCATTATTATTATTATTATATATTAATATTATTTTAATACTATGCTATTGTCAACAAAAATATTTACAGAAAACGTTTACATATGATTAAATAATTGTATATATAAATAAATAATTAATTAATTATTTAATATTTAAATAAGCTGCTGGAATTGCATAAATTATGTTACTTGTGTGTACATCGTCATTTATCATTTAATTTGCTATTATAATATACCGTATTCCGACTAAAGACCGATAAAAAAGTGATGATTACGGTAGCTTCTTCAAATAACATGATAAGATCGTTCATCTTCTAATTTAGAATACGTCCCTCCTTTTCATTGCGCTCCGGACCCACGATCAAATGTAACAAAGAAACTCGTTTCACACAGAAGACAGAGACGTCACGCAGCATCCGCGGCCGCCATAAAAATTCACCCGTTACACATACGTGCCGTGAATAAATTTCCCTTGCTTCCAAACCACATTGTGAGATAATCACCTTAGCAAAAAAAAAAAAAAAAAGATTCTTTGTACTACATAACTTATTTTATTAAAATTTTATATTACAATATTTTAATATTTATATTTTTTACTATTTATTATTAGTAAAATTAACATTGCATTATTATTATATATAATTTCACTAGAATTATATCAAATGCAATTCCAATTAAAGAGCATATTTCCAAACAGTCTTAAGCCTATTTTTTACATATATGTAAATATAAATTAATAAATTGATTTAAATACCGTGCGAGATTTTAATCGTAACACGATTGATAAATACGGCAGATAACAGATCCACATTTAATAATTTCCCTTTTTTTCGATTTCAGTGACGTACAACTCACTAATGTTATTCGAAATGTTATTACTATGCTACGCTGCTCGGCATGTATATTACGTTGATCCGGAGAAAAATCAAGAACAGGACGCAATAGATCGGATGCCGAAAACAACGGGTCAAGACCCGACAAATAGCAACGATAGCAACAAGTAACTTCCAATGATATCAATCGCGTAAACTTTCAAACTGGCGACATCGGAAATGTCAACTGTATATATTATTTATGTCGAAAAAAAACTTTCATCGATGAAAAATTCGTCTCTCAATGTTTTAATCAACATACATCGATCGATATAAGTAAAATAAGACGATATTGATCGATGTAAAAACGGGATTATGTAGATGTAGAACATATTGGGTTCTTCTAGATAGTTTAACTTTTAGCCCTATTTTTACAAATCCTCTTTCTACTTCTGCATCATAAGCTCCCTTATGTAAATATCATTATTATAATTATAATTGTTATTAATTATCACAAGAAATATTATTAATTACTAGAACGGTAATATAAGAGGCTCACACACGAGGTAGAAATCGGCACACGAAAGTCGATCATACTCGATTTTAGACTGACTTTCTCTCTCTCTCTCTCTCTCTTTATATATATATAAAATTCTGCAAATCTCGATCTTTAAATTAGTGTTTTCTTTCATTGCTGATAGTAATTCTTAGAATCAATTAGAAGAAATGTTACATGCTTTCCATTCTTTTAATCATCATTGCGCGCCATATATAACTCTTATAAATTCTATTTTTAGAGAAAGAAATATAAATAGCAATATATATATATATATATATATATATATATATTACTTCTAATAATAAAAATAAAAGCAAAGCTATATGAAGAAATACAATCAGAATTCTTCTTTAAATGTGATTTTTTTGTAAATAGAAATTTGTATGTGTGTGTTGTGTGTGTATATATGTAAGATTGTAATAATATATATTAAATATTATAATATATATGCATAAAGATGTTTATTTTCTAAAGTTTGCATTTATAAAACTTTAAAATTAATCGTAAAAAACTGTCGAGTCTCAAAACAAATTCAAAAATATAAAAAAAATACTGTACTGAAAGAGAAAGAAATCAAGTGTAAAAATAAAATTACAAGAGTTATTTATCAACTGCGTTTTCTTTTTAAGTTTGATAATTGCGCGAGATTAATGAGTAATAAGATATAATCTCTATTCCTATTTACACTTTATCCAAAATGTCATCATGTTCTCCATATACTTGAAAAGATAATCCGATAACATCCGATACGTTAATATTCCGATAACATTCTTCCATGAGATATGTATATTAGATGTCTTTGTCTTGACGATCCTCCTCTTTCTCTTCCAGAGAAAGATGAACATCCCGCAGATAAGAGCTTACGCAAAGTCCTCTGGCTTATTATTCTTTCCTGAATCCTTCGTTTTATTTATTTCATCCTTTGCTTGATTTCGTAAAAAGTTTTAAAACGGTCAAGATTGTAAATATTAATATTTTCCATGTTAAAATCATTTATACATCTATGTATGATTGATACGATTAATACTTTTCATATTAATATAGAAATTATTAATAGACATATTAATTTTCTGAACAATTAGTATTAAAATCTAAATATATTATTTAAAAAATTAACACGCCGATTGCAAAATATCAGCAACAACCAAAAATACGACAGGACGAAATCGTCAAACTGATGGGGTTACAAAGACAAGTCGCTCCGCGGTTTTCATCCCCCTCACCGTCATTCTTCCACGTCCATTCTCCACGAGAAAGGACAGACGATTATATCGCATTCGAGTACAAGAAAAAGCGAAAAAAGGACCAGGCTCCGTGCGCCCCCTCATTTTTCGAGCGATTTCAGAGGACTGTTCGCCGCCTACCTGCGATCTGGCCCACCGTAACTACAAAACACACTTCTCTGTCTCCCTCTTCTGTTGTCCCCTTCATCCTTACTAACATAAGATGCAACTCGCCGTTCGAGACTTGATCCTCGACCCTCTTCACGGGACGTGATCGTGATCGAGCTTTACAGCCGTAATAGATTTAACAGTTTCCTTAGGAGGTATCGACTTAGGCGTGGAAGAGGAAGAGGACCAGGAAAAAGGGAGACGAAGAGAATTACCGAAATTGAATGGATTTCTTCCCTTTCTTGTTTCCGCGCGGATAAATCGGGAACTTCTCGTTTTAATTTTATCGGATTGAAAGGGGATCATCTCTTCTCGGATAATTCCGTATTTTCATGAGTTATTTATATTATAAATTTCAACAAATTTTAATTATGTATGCGGAAAATTAGGAAAAGTGCATTTTCGTGTATTGAAATCTTATCGGTATAGCTTCATCATTCCGAAAAAGGTAGACGCTGTGGCAAGCAGGTTGAAAAATCACCGCATCGTAATTCCCCGATTGCTGATTGGTAATCTACTCCGGTGAGACTAATTAAGGCAGTACCCGCGTTTCAAATGGGGCGTTCAAATTGTTTTCTACGCCGCCATCTCGTCTCCCGACTAGATATCCTTGAGTAAGACGAGATAAAAAAACTAGCTGAACAATATTTCGCGAGCTAATGAGCCGACCCTAGCAAATTTTAACATAATCATCGTTATGATTTATAATAGGAGATCGTTCCTTCTCAAGAATTCCTCTCTCGCGGTGCATCGCATTATTTCTATCCCATTTTAAAGTTTGTTAAAACGTATATGTATATATA